CACGTTCATACTGTTTGGCATTGCTGAGTGACAAAATCGACGAGTTTGCGAAGTAGTGTTACAGTGTCAGCCCTTGGCCATGGACTCTCGTGAAGGAAGGAAGACCAAAGAGAAGCCAAGTGACATGCTGGAATAGGCTGGGCTCTCCGTTCCAGTCCCAGCTTGGCCTTGTCTTCTTCCTCTTAAATTCCCACATCTTGATCAATGGAGCTTAAAAGTCAGGAGGGTGGTGAAGACAATGAGGGAGGGGCTGTGTGCACAGGTGGAAAACAGGTTTGGGAGAAGAGACAAAAGCATTCAGCATCATGTCACTGCTTGCACACTGACGTCACTTGCATTATCACATATGCTTATTTGTGTCCTATAAATAAAGCAAGCTAGCCCCGGAGATATGAAACGACTGATTTGTCCAGAACCCCAGCTAATCAATTTCAGAACTGACTGTGGGGTCAGTCAAACATCTGACCTCAGCTCACGCCGTGATCTCGCAGTTCACGAAATCAAGCGCCCCATGGGGCTCCAGTGGAGATCCCCCTTCAAATCCTCTATTTCCCCCCTCTCTGACACTCTCCTGCTTGCGTGCCCTTGCTCTCTCTCTCAAAAATAAACAAACATTTAAAAGTTAAACAAATACCAGAACTTGGGCTTGAATCAGCATCTTTTGAGTCCAGATCCGTTGTTCTTTATGCAGAAGGCTAGTGCCTCAGCCAGTACCCGTACTGTTAATCTATTAGAGGTGTATTTTTTCTCTTAAATATACCACAATTTCATTGCTAGACTTGTAATAATGAGTTTTTTTGGGAAGATGAGTGCCATATAAATATTAACTGTTACTTAACACCACTAAAATCATGGTTGCATAGGGGAATTTATTATAATTCAAGTTCAATAAGTACCCACTATGTTTGGTAAATACAATATTGTCCACACCCTCAGGAAGCAGAGAAAGTGATGTAAACATATAAGTGAAATATCATGGGTTGGATCCTGTAATGGACATGTGCCTGAAATACATACAAAGCTGTTGTTCCTGAATGTTAGCAGGCATCAGAATCATCTGGTTAGCTTATAAAAATACAGATTGCTGGGTTCTACCCTCAGAGTTTCTGGGATGGGGCCCAAGACTGTGAATTCCTAACAAGTTCCTAGAGGGTGTTTATGCTACTGGTCCAGACAGCACACTTTGAAAGCTGGAATTGCTTCCATCTGGGAGTGTGGGAGAAGATTTTGTAGAAGTGACTCCCAGGCAGATCTTGAAAAATTAAAAAAAAAAAAAAAAGTTTGCCTAGTGGAACGGGTAGAATGGCATTCCAGGTCGATGTAATAGCATGCAAAATAGTGTAGACAGGTAGAGCAGTAGTTAGGGCATCCCTAATAAATTTTGTATTGCCACAATCAAAAAAGAAGTGGACACTGGTAAGAGAGAAGTCTGAGCTCATGGAGGCTTCATGGTAAAGCTTCGCCCTCTAGGCCATGCAGAGCTACTGAAGGATGTGAAACAGAGAAGTACCTTAGTCAAAGCTGCATTTTAGAAAGCTAATTAATTCAAGTGCAAAGATGGAAGCATGGAGGAAATGCCCACTTAGTACCTAAATATGAAAGAAAGCCTTTGAACAGCAATAACATTTTGCCCGGGGATCCATCCAGCATGTGTTTGTCTTGCTATTTCCGACAAATAGTTAGGAAGACACTGTGTGCCATGCGTGTAAGCAAGTCAGAGACACCATCTTTTCCCTCGGGCACTCGTGGGAGCCAACACTAACATCTAGGAAACAACAGAGCACACAAGGCAAGGCAATATTTTACCAAGGGCTGAAAAGAGCAAGGTCATTTAGGGCTGAAGCACTTAGCCCAGGTTTCATGCAGAAAGCACGGCGCAAGCTGGCCTTGCAGAAAGGCAGTTTTGGCATGGCTGGAAGAAGGCTTTGCAGGCCAAGAGGACCCTGGAGTACAGGTACAGAAAGTGGAACTAAACTTTGAATGCACACTGAATGCACATTGAAGAAGGGGAGGCAGCTGGTCAACCTGTAGAAAGGGCTTTTCTTGAGACCTAGAAAGGAAGTTTGAATCACAGTGGCTATTTCTACAGGACTAACCTCTGGAAGATTTTTAGAAAAGAGAACAAGAGCCACATAAAATCAGGAAACGTAGTGCTTCGCAACCATCTGCAACCCCCGCTCTCTTAACCACTCACTATCACCCAAGGATAATAAGCATCAAGGGAACAGAGTATAAAGGCTGGGGTTGGGAGCAAGAAACAGGGCAGGCACTTTGGGCTTTGGTTCTGATAGGGCCAAAATGCCCAGGGAGTTGGCCATTGTCCGGAGACTGAGGTGGGTTGGTGATCAGACGGCTCCTTGTGAAAGGCCATCTGTCCTTTGCACCAGGATGAAGGGCTGGGGAGCCCCGCCTTTCAGCTCCCAGATGGCAAGACAATGCATTCATGCAAGAGAGACTTCCCAGGTCATTTGCTTGTTCCCAAATGTACAAATATGAAAACATTTTTGCATGTGGGTTTTGTGAATTGTATGTTTCCTCGGCCACTCTTCCCATCTCGACCTGACCATACAACATTCTCTTACACTTCACCTTCCATCCAGAAATCACTGTTTGTGTTTACTGAAGCCGATACACAAACTTTTTTTGTTTGATTTTGTTTCTTGTGTCTTTGTAAAGGATGGTAGATTTGTTCACAGTGTAGATTGGGGTCTCTGCTGAATTTGACATTCCACGTACCCTTCCACTTCCCCAAAACTTTGATTTTCTGGCCAACTCATCATCCTTTTCGCAGATGACTGTGCTTGTAATTTTCACTACCAGGTGCAGCAAATGACTTTTTCCTTCAAGATCATTATTCCCAAAGAATTAAGACATATACCTTCACAGAAGTGACTTTCTGTCTGTCGGGGGTTGAGAGACAGAGCTGCCTCATGTCATGTAGGTTGAGGTGCTACGTGGGGCTCCGCAAAGTTCATCCTCTGCCTATTGCTCAGTCCCCACACCACCCGGAGTAGCCTGTGATGCTCGAACTTGAACCTCATTACATTAAAAGCTACTGCACACTCTGGACCTTTAAGGTCACATAGGAAGCATTGGAGGTAGAGCTTATCATTCAGAGAGTCTGATGTGCCTGGCTTTGTGCTGAAAGGTAGCAGTTAGGATGCATGTGGCTGAAAAATGGAGAAAGCAGGCTAGCCAGTTTAATCAAATATATAACATTAAGCCCAGTGAATGACCGTATTGAATTTATCATTAGCTCTGTTTAAACACAATCCATCTTCAGCTCCCTCTTTCTAAAATTTGCCTTGGAAGAAAAACAAAACAAAACAGAAGGAGCCAGGGTGAGACTATGCCAAAGGGTGTTTTGTGGGGCACATGTCCGTGGAAACAAAAGGCCCCATTTTAATTGAATTATAAACTGTGTAATTATTTAACCCGTACCAGCTGGTCTCAAGAAGCTACCGGATTCCTTAGAGAGCTTGTACTTGGCCAGGAACATAAGGTGCCTTATTAGTAACAAGAAAAATGCCTTCTGTACCTATGTTATGCCCATCCCCCAAAGAATGTACTGTAAAAGGGGGAAAATGCTTGAAGTTCATTTTTGGTTAAAGAGATAGCCCTCCCCCCTTCTGAGTGTGTGAGTGGATGTGCTAGGAGCACCTGCAGTCTCTGAGGAATGGCCAACATACACAGGATGGTATTGCATCAGACAGGTAAAAGTAATTTCTCTAATTAGTCATTGGAGATTTCACTTTTCACTTGGAAAACCTGGAAATTCAATTTGTTTGTGACAGGCAGTTGGCAAATTGACAATACATACAACTGCCCCCTCCCTGTGTCTTGCTGTCCTGCCATCACGTGGAAAGCACTGGGGGTTCTCCACGTAGGCCCTTCGCTTCATCTGTCGACATCAAGCTAACGAGAGTACCTTCGTATTGACAAATGGCCCCTAATTACACATTCCTCCTTGTGATGCTAGAATAATCCTAATGAGTTTCCCGTGATCATTTTTCTTTCAGATTAAAGGGTTTTTTCTCAATCCCCCCAAGTTATGCCAGTGGTGTCCTTTATCATACATTCTCATTCCCATAAGAACAGTATCCCCAAAGGTACAGAGCCAGCTATTTTTAGGGGGCTGTATTTTATGAGTTAATGTATGATTGAAGATGGTCCTTTGATTCAAGAAATAGTTCATCCTATCTATTTTCGTTTAAAACATCCCTCTCTAAACAAAGATTGATTGGCATCAGACAGAGCCCCCGTAAATCAGAGCTATTGATTTTACATTTGTTTTCGTCCTTGTGGTTTTATTCCCCCTTATGTCGTAATTTGTTATCCTGATAGCTAGCGCCTGAGTCGGTACCTGGGTTGATCCCGGGAGGTGGTTTCTTTCAATTCAGACTAATCTATATGTGAAACAGATTAGCTTTCAGACAGAGAACCAAGGTTCCCTTGCTCTTTATAACATTACCCCCCCGTATTTCCCGTGGAGCTCACAGATGCCACACAGTAAAATCTCTGGCAAGTGGCAAGTTGAGGGATGTTGGTGTGGCCCAGATAATATTAGCACAGGTGAGGCTCCTGGCTTCCCTGGGTGTTTCAGGAAGCTGGGTGCTTCTCCTCTTGGCCCTTGACACCTAGACTCAAAACGCAAATATTATGGACACCTTCCAGAAATTCCTCAAGGCCAGAAAATTCTTCCATCTTCCACAAGTAGCAGAAGCAACAAGAGAGAGAATGTCTGCTGGTTACACTTTGCATGCTAACGCAGGGGTACATGGCCCCTTTTAATATACATCTGCTTCGATGCTTATAGATAGAGCTTGGGACGCTGTCAAATCACTTAGGAACCCGCTTAGGATAAAATTAGACTTTTCTGGATTTGTATGTTGTATGCAAGTATCACTTCTGGGGCTTTGCTTTTTCTGGCCAGTTTGAATGAATGCAGTGCCCTTGTTCTAAATTGTTTTATTCCCTTTCTCCCTCGGCTTCCCATTCAGTACTCAGTGACGTCACTCAAGACCATCCCCGAACTGTGCCGAAGATGTGATGCGCAAAGTGAGGACAGATCAGGTAGGTCTCTCTCCGCACCCCTCTCCTTCTGACTTGGAGAGAGTGGAGGACCCCAGAAAGCTGCCTCCCCCTTCCACAACTTGCCCCTGCCTTCTGTCTTCCCTTTATGGCTTTTCCCTTTACCCCCCTGAACACACCCCCTCCAGGAGCAGATGTTAGGTCTTCTTCCCCAGGCTAACAGGACAGGGAGGCCCTAATGAGGACTCAGCTGTATACAAATAAATGTAGGCTGTCATCTCGACAGCTCCAAACCACAGTATACGCGGCAATTTACTGAAAACCCGAGAAACCATCGGTGACAAAACATAATGATGGAGGCGCCAATGAAAAAATGTTGGATGCGTCTACTACCCATATGGCAAGGGCCAGTTTGGGGATGGTGCCTCGCCAGAGCCTGAAACCCTATCAGGGATGCGACATGATAGGATCTGCATGAAGGCATACTGTAACAGTTAAGATTAAAGCAGAACTTTGGAGTTTAATAGTGTAAACTAAACAGAGAATTATGGCCTATAGATGAAAACCAGCTGGTTGACCTTTTCTCCTTGTCCACACCCCCACCCCGGACCCAAAAAAAAAAAAAACATTTGGGGCCGTTTTTCCCTCTGTAAATCAGATTAAGCCTCTCTCCTTTTCTCTTCCATGATGGGCAAAAATGAAAATGAAAAAGGATATTGATGGGAACGATCCTATGGCATTAAACTAAGAAAGGATGCTTATTATTTTTTTGAAGTAATTGCTATCAGGCACTGCCGTTGATCGTGCCAAAGCTCCCCTCCTCCGATAGTAGCTAGAATCCTGAGAACCATGGGGGATGGAAGCCTCCAGATAATCCTCAGATGAGGTGTACTGAGTTTCATAGAGGCCCCTTACCTGTGCAGTTACTGGAATTCTAGGTCTTTCTAACTGAAGACTTGCCCAAAGCTAATCCACTTTTCTCCTGGACGGCTTGTTCACTTTTGAGACTTTGTGTAGAGGAGGCGGGACAAAGAATTAGTCTTTCTAGGTTTGTTTATCTCTGTGTTTTTTTGTGTGAGTGAAACTGGTGCTTCAATGTTTGGGTCAGAAACGCAGAGGATAGTTCTAAGTTCCCATAAAAGTCTTCATATCCCTTCAGTGTTTTGGGTTTTTCTTTTTGTTTTGTTTTTAATTTCAAACAATGTCAAGTTTCTGTCGGGTTCAACAAAGGCTCTAGCCATGACGCTTTAAAACATCACACATGACTCCTTACAAGACATCACACCAGGCTCCAAGGTTGAATTTCTGACTGTGGGCAGTGACTTGAGTTCAAGTTAGAGTTCACTGATTTATCACCCCTATGATGTACAGCCTAAGACTGTCAACAAAATGAAGAAGAAGCTTGTTTTGCCAGTGTTACCAGGTTAGGATCAGAGTTCGGTGAGGTATGTGAAGTTACTTTGTAGATACAGAATTTGCCTATTTCTTTAACTGGAGGTGGAGAGTGAGAAAGAAGAAATAATAACAAACACGTGGCAAGCGCTTAATGTGGTAGGAACTGTTGTAAGCCCTTTACTCACATTAGCTCCGTTAATCCTAAAATCCCCATGGGTAGAGTACTTAGCATGTCTATGCTGTGGGTGGGTAAACTGGGGCACAGCAGAGACGTTAAATATCTTGCCTACATAGGAAGCGTAGGCTTCCTCTCAAATAGCTTGACTTAGTGGCATTAATTTAATTTTAGGATACTATCCTTTCAAAACTTTAAAAATCAGCATCTTTCCCTCATGGATTAAGAGGTGAATTGCTCTTCTGTTTAATAGCTGTTCTTGCTTACCGAGGTAAGTGCATTAACCAAAGCTGTAAAAAAATCATTTTTCCTGGGGCTGGTTCATTCCCCTTTCTCCAGGCCAGGTGTCTTCTCACCACTTGCACAATAGGTGATGTTGGACATTTCTGCTCTGGTTGATAAGGAGGCCAGTTTCAAGTGCAGAAGCTTTTAAACTGTACCCAGAGCAAAGACCCAGTGCTCAAGGTCATCGGCAGTAATTAGATCTGACGGGAAATGGACACATATGGGTAAGACTCAGGCCTTTTACTGGAATCACACGTACACCTCACCAGGAGGCTGTCAAACTACTTTCTACTAGAGCAAGAGTGATCCTAGAACACATAGAAAAATCCATCTAACAGTAACATCGCTGTAGATTATTGGTGAGCTCCATTGAAAGGAATCTCAACAGAGTAAAGATTTTTCAGTTTCTGAAAGAATCGAGGCATTCTCAGTTAGTTCCAAGGGTATCCAGTTATGGAAATACCACCTCCTTACAGCCCTCCAGTCTTGCTAAGATCAACCACCTATGAGGATTTGGCTCCAGGAGGACTTGCAAATTTCTACCTTTATGGTCATCATTTCAAACAGATGGCAGCCAAAGGCACACTGACCTCTGAAAAAACTCCACCCCTTCTTTTGGACCAGGCACCCTGTGGGGAAACTCTTCCCCAAACCTACCATTGCTTAGCATACAATCCCCCAGATAAAGGCTCTTTATCTTTGTAAAGTGTACTAAGCCATTTCTATTTTGTGTCAGTTCTCAGTTGTTACCATCCATCTTCACACGAACAAGTCCTTGAACAGGTGTTCTTGGATCCATTTGTCCTTTTTATTTATTCATTCATCAAATAATTGAATATTTTTTGTCACTAGCACTCAGGACAGGGGAATGAGTGAGATGTAGACAAGGCCCCCAGATTCAGTGTTTACATTCTAGAGAGTGACAAAAAGGCGAGCTAACGAATTAATACCAGTTAATTTCACACGGTGGAAAGAGGTCACTTGAAGCAAGGTGATAGGGTAACTTGTAGGCATTGGAGGAGGGCATTTGGTGGGGCGGGGTGGGGGGTGGGTCTGAGAGTGTTAAAAAGGACCCTGCCAGTGATCACCAGTGCAGACGGTTGAAGGCAGAAGAACTATCTTAAGTGCAAACTCCCTATGTCAGGAATGAGCCTAGCAAGTATGAGGAAGAAAAAGAAAACCACTGTAGCTGCAGCAGGGTGATCAAAATGAAGATGAGATCTGGGAGATGGTCAGAGTCAGACTCCCTGGGGCTGTATCGATCGATCACGTAAGCGGACTTCAGTTTTATGTTTTACGCTAAATGCTACGTAAAGGACGCTAGCAGGACTTCAGGTTTTCTACAGTCTTATGACTTGAAAAGAAGCCTCCGTGTGTAGAATCTTAACTCTCAGTAGAAGAAGGGACCCCAAACTCATAAGGTCTGAGAGAGATAGAGAGCAAGTGGGCATGCAGATAATACCGCAAATGTGTAAAATGTGGGCAATTGATGACTATGGATAAAAGATATACAGTTGTTCTTTGTAATGTTTTTTTTTTAACTTTCGTAAATGTATTTACAAATGAGAAAACTGAGTTACTTACAAATGAGTTTTTTAAAAGGCAAAAACCAAAATCACATAGTCCAAAGCCCATCAGATCTCGACAGGACCCTTATTATCCTGCCTGTGGGATGATACAGCCTGCACTTTACTCCTCGAATGACAGAGAGTTCACAGTCCCATGAGGCTACCCAACCATAGAGGCTCATTTTTTTCTTTCGGCCAAAATCAGTGTCCCTGGAATTTCCATCCCTCATTCCTAGTTCTTGTTTTGGATCCATGGAGAAGGGCAGTCCCTCCTGGACAAGGCGCTGGATGTTTAAAAATGGCCATCACTCAGGTGTGGTCTTCTCCAGGTTGAAATTTCCCTCCACAGTTTTAAGTGTGTTCTGCTCATTCTTCTTGCTGTCTCGTGGATGACTGCAAATTACCAGCACCCTGTTTTGAAGCAGAGGACCCGAAACTGAACCTGAGGTGGCCCCCTGTGTGGTCTGATGAGAGCCTGTCAGTCCCATGGTCAGCCTCCAACACTCAGCTCCCACCTCCCCTGCCTTCCCAAGTGAGCGTCACAGACAACACACATGCCTATCCTTTCTGCTCTTTCCTCTCAAGAAGCAAGAGCATCAAAGGAGCCTTTTGGTGGCCTTAGAAGCCCCTCTGTGAGACATATAGCCTAGAGCTCATTCCCCATCGTCCCTAGACCCTGGGACAGCCCTGTGGTGGGCAAATGGCAGGTGTTGCCAGAGGCATAGGCAGCGTCCCACACCCTTCCACTAGCTCTCTGATGGGCATAATCGTGCCCTGGAGGTGCCCTTCCGTTAGCTGAGGGCTTCAATTCCTGTTGAAATCAACACCTTCCTCTGACAGGAATAATATTTTAAACTCTCTTCCATCAGTTACACTGCACTGTGACTGAGCTTCAAATTTCTTGAGAAAACAAGCTTTGAAAAGTCGTATGAAGGTATTGGAGATATGACAAGAAGATGGCAGGGAGGTGAAGAATTAGAAGTTTCACCCTTGAGAACAGGCATGCCCTCTCTTTGGAGCTCCATGGTACTTTTGAGAGACCCAAGTTATTTCTTACGTGCTCAGTGTCCCAGGTCCTCTGTAAGCAGCTTATTTGTCCTCAGAATAATTCTCTGAGGGAGGACCATTGCTATGCCCAATTTAATGACATGGAAACTGAGGCTTGTAGAACATAAATTACTTGCCCAAAGTTCTAGAGCTGGAAGATGCCTTTGAAACCAGCTCTGACTCCAGAGCCTTATGAAGTTGACTCAACTGAGCAGTAATTTTCATCCAAGGAGCCACAGACAGCTACTGGTATGAAACAGAGATTAGCAGCAAGGAAGTTATGTGTGAAAACTTGCACCTGGGAAAGGAAGTCATTTGTGAAACATTTGCACATATCCTCTGCTTAATCCCTACGGCCCATGAAGGAAAAGAGGACACCACCAGGCAGTGAGTGTTAACTCTGCCCTATGGTTTTTGCCAGATGAGGACTAATATATGTCGACATATGGAATTCAAATCAGACATATTCAGTTTCATTGACTTGGAGTTTTCCTTAATTGATTGGACACTCAAATACACATAGGTTTCAATTCATGGTGCTTAAGTGTCTTGTGATTCTTTCCAAATAAGTA